CCACTGGGAGGAGGTCCAGAGGAAGACCCAGGACACGCTGGAGGGACTATGTTTCTCAGCTGGTCTGGGAACACCTTGGGATTCCCCCAGAGGAGCTGGTCCAAGTGGCTGGAGAGAGGGAAGTCTGGGTCTCTGCTGAGGCTGCTGCCCCCGAGACCTGACCCCAGATAAGAGGAAGAAAATGGACGGACGGACAGACCTATGAAGTTCATCAATCTAATTATAATAATATATTTTACATTAGTTACAATAATAATCATTATTTATTAATCATTTATAAATCAGATGGTTAATGTTGGGATTCTGTCTTCAGTGGACAGTCGGTACCTGCCCCGGTCCAACATAGATGCAGGTGGCGTTGACATGGCAGCCTCCTCTGTCAGGACCATGGCAGTTGTTGATTGGTTGACACCCATCTCCGTCCTCTGTCCATCCACTCAGACACTGACAGGTGTGTGTACTCGGGCCAGTCTTTATACATTTAGCCTGCGGACACCGTGAGACACCGTGAGACGCTGTGGCAGTGATGCTTCAAGAAACTGTTTTTATTACACTGATGCTGCAGCCGCCTCTGAGAGGAGGAGCACAGGGATCTGACTCCACACAGGTGATCCCATCACCCTGGAAACCAGCTTTACAGACACACCTGAAAGAGTTCACAGCATCCAGACACACGGGACACAAAATAAATACATGAAAAATACTCACGTCACTAAATAAATACATGAAAAATACTTTCACTGGAAGTTTATGTTTGACAGAGATGGAGACGGACTGATCTCCCTAAAATCAGGCAGCAGATCAACAGATGTTCTGGATTATTTTCAACTCCTGACTGATTGTCCTTTGAAAGAACCGTTCATGTCAGATTCTGGTTCTTCAGGTTCTTCATCTCTGTCTTCAGGAACAGTTGGATCGTTGTGTCGCCACAGAAAGAATCAGAAAGACTTTCTGTTCTGAGCTGCTAGAAAGGGTTCTGTATGACTGAAACTATGCTGGGCCTGTGGGACAAAGATTCTGTCTGGTAAAAGTTCTGTTGGGGAAAAGGTCTATAATGAACAGGTGTCCAGTCCTGGTCCTGGTGGGTCTCTGTCCTGTAGGTGTTCCTTGAGTCTCTGCTCCAACACWCCTGATGCAGATATTCTGTCTGGTAAAAGTTCTGTTAAGAAAGATTCTTGTCTAGGAAAGATTCTGCCAGTGAACAATTCTCATAGAGGAACTATAACTGATCAGAGTTCAGTTCACCTGGTGGATCCATCACTGAAGTCACAGTCAGCATGGGCGTGGCAGAACTGGGCCAGAGTGCCGCAGGGAGACGTCTGTCGATCGCAGAACAGACCCGTGAAACCCTGGAGACAGGAGCCCGGTTTACACCGACCGTCTGAGTCCGGACGGCTGTCACACTGTCCATGGATACAGGGGCAGGCTGAGGACACACAGGTGAGGTGTCACTCAGGTGAGGTGTCACTCAGGTGGTCTGAGCTCCATGGTTCTACTCCCACTTACTTGTGTCACAGTTGGGACCGTATTTCTTGGAGGCGGAGCAGTACTGACAGTGAGAACCCCTGAAGTTGTCCTCACAGAGACAGGATCCGTTTCCTCCAATGCCCTCCACACACTGAACAAGAAGAACACATCAGTTCTCTTCAGGTACCAACACACTGAGGTTCTGTAAGGTCWTCTGATGGTGGATGGTACCTGTCCATGTCCGGAGCAAGGTGTCTGAAATCCACCTGGACATGGAGAGCAGTCTGGACCATAGAAACCTTTACAGCACGCCCGAGTCTGAACATCCAGGGTTACAGGTTTATTTACTTRGTTCAGGTAACACTGAAGACAATAGAAGCTGTGGTTCTGTACCGTGACGTTTGTGTTGCAGATTGGAGAACATCCTCTGAGGGAGAACCTGAGGGGTGGACTGATGGACTTGGTGTAGGGACATCCGTAGGTGTGGCCCTGATGGACAAAGACCACTGAGTTCACATCAAACCAACATCCAGCCAGGTAAGGTTTGTAAGACCGCTCTTACCGTGTAGACTCCAGAGGAACACCTCAACAGGGTGACTTTAGAACAGCTCACACACGGACCCTGAAGAACATAGAACCAGACGTGGAACATTACAAACCTGGTCCCGACAAATAAAAACATGTCTTTCTCAGACTCACCGGGATGGTCTTAGTCTCTGTGATGTCACACCTGTGGGGCAGGACAGGTTCAATGGAGGGCGGAGTCAGAACTCCACCCATCACATACAGATGTCCGTTTTTAGCAACCACGGTGCTCTCGAGGACAGCGGCCATGTTGTTGACCCGAATCTGACCCTGAATCAGAGAAAATACAGGCGAAAACCTGCCTGGAGCTAAATCCGTTTTTAACCCGTCAGGGAAATTACCCTTACCGTCAACATTTACCTGCTCGTTCACATTGATGGTCAGGATCTGATTGGCCATTGTCACAATCGTGGGGCGGGACACCAAGTTATAAACATCCAGCTAAAAGAAGGCAGCATAAAAAACAGTTTCTGAAGGCAGCTGAAGTTAAAATGAGCCGAACAACAGCTGAGATAAAAAACAAACAGCTAAAACAAGCTGAACCATTGCTAAAGCTAAAATTAACAAAACCCTCTAAAACAAATGATCCAACTCACGAGGACAACCCGAAGAACATGTCCAACTCATGAGGACAACAGYGGACTCACCTCCACAGATGGGACAATGTGGTTCCTGAGGAACTCCAGCAGCTTGCTGTGACCCTGAGGTTCAGATCAGACATCAGCTGAAGAGTCCACAAAGACATTTATTTTATATTTTATTTGTCCTCACATCTTCACTGCTGAGGAACTGAAGGTGTCCGTCCTTCATTGCGTCAAACGCTGCAGCTGTTGGTGCAAAGACAGTCATGGGTCCAGGAAGGTCCATCATTGCAGCCAAATCAGTTTTCTGCAGAGACRGAAGAACATCAACAAGATGTTTTCAGGTATTTTATTAAACCATCTGATGTTTTCACTTTGGAAACGAGACAAAGTTCACAAACATCTAAAGCCCGTCCTGCATGTGGGAAACTAGACCCCCACAGACCCAGTCCTGTTTTTAAAGAACCTAAATGGGACCCTGAAATACAGCAAACCCCCACAGACCAAAACCATGTTTACAAAGACTAGTCTTTGTCCAAGTCCATATCTGAGTCCTAAACTCAGGACCTGCAACCATTTACACAGAGTCAAGATTTACAGATCTAAGGTTCATCCTCTGCATGACAGGAACTGGACCTAATGCTTCCAGGACTTGGATCAGGTCTCAGAGCTGTCAGAGGTTCTGCTCAGGTTCTTCATGTTCTAAACGTGTCAAAGAAAACGAACCTCCAGTAAAGACTTGAACTTGTGGAATTTTGCRTTGTCAGAGATGATCTTCATCAGGTTCTCCTGAGGATGACCAACATGGAGTTAAAGAGATGACATCATCCACAGGACCAGCTGTGAATTTAAGGCTCAGTTTCTGTGGAGACATTAAATGGTCTCACGTCCTGGTTGCTCTGGACACTGGGGGACACGCTGTCCATCAGCTTGTTGATGAGATGGATCATSCCGTTGGACGCCACCAGGTCAGACTGGATGATGGTGCCTTTCTTCTTGCTGCCATGGATACGGATTTTRGTTTCACTTCCCTGCAACAAAACAAGAAGCAGCTCAACAGAAGAACCTGGACCCGTGTCAGTGACAGAACCCCATCCATCAGAGATCCTGGACCTGGGTTCTTCAAAGCCTCCTCTCTGTCTTGAGACATCACCAGGACCTCACCGTGGTGTCCACCTCAGCTGATTTTCCTGTCAGAGTGTAGAAAAGCTCTGTTCTCTGCAGAACTTCAGAGGAGATGTGTCCAGCAGCCAGGTGCAGGTTCAGCAGGTGTTTAGCTTCAGACGGTTCTGCAGTCAGAGCTTTCACCTGGAGACATGAAGAACACTGAAACTGGTCCATCTCACAGCTTCATTCAGCTTCTGATGGAAACTTACAGAAACTCCTCTGAAGCCTTTAGTGACCGGGACGAAAATGGTGAAAGGACCCAGGTTCTGCAGAGACCACGACAGAGAGCCTGAAGAAGACCACCATAAAGTAGTTAATGAACAGAACCAAAACCCAGCGGATCAGAACCAATCTGCAGATAAATGTGTTTGTCCTCTGGACTCTGAACTTTCTGAACTCTGAACCTCCTAGACCCTGAACTTTCTGGACCAGAACTATCTGGACCCTGAAACTTCTGGACCAGATCTATCTGGACCAGAACCTCCTGGACCCTGATTTCTTCCAGTTTTTCTGTAGTTAAAGGATTTCTGAACGTACTGAACAGAGAGATGGCGTTGCTCAGCTGACCCCTCCACTGTCCTCTGGGTTTTGTGTTCAGTTCGTTCAGACGCTCCATGATGTTCCCAAAACACTGGTTCCCATTCCCAACATAGCCCTGAAGACAGGTGCACCTGGGGGGCGGAGCAGAAGGACCATCAGGTGTGCACTCAGCTCGAACTCAGGTGTAAACAGGTGAGGAACCTACTGGACTTGATCCAGTCCCACTGTGGTACAGTTGGCGTTCTGGTGGCAGGAAGTGGGTTTGCAGGCATCCTTCAGGCTGCAGGAACCACCAGACAGTTGTCCAAAACCAGGAAGACACTCGCAGTGGGACTGAAGAGGACAGAAGAGTCAAATCCATGGACACTCAAAGTCCCACAAACTCACACTGCCCCCTTCAGGCTACAACATGAACTACAGTCCATCCCAAGACCTCCTGACTGTGAGGCAACATAACAAACCACTAATCCACCATGCAATACCAACCATTCATCCATCATCCAACAATCCATCATCCATCATTCAACCATCAACCAACCATCCATCCATCATCCAACAATCCATCATCTAAAAATCATCCAACCATCATCCAACCATCCATCATCTAACCATCATCCAACCATCATCCAACCATCCATCCATCATCCAACCATCCATCATCTAACCATCATCCAACCATCATCCAACCATCCATCCATCATCCAACCATCCATCATCTAACCATCATCCAACCATCATCCAACCATCCATCCATCATCTAACCATCATCCAACCGTCATCCAACCATCCATCCATCATCCAACCATCCATCCATCATCCAACCATCATCCAACCATCATCATCTAACCATCATCCAACCATCATCCAACCATCCATCCATCATCCATCATTCAACCATCAACCAACCATCCAACCATCATCCAACCATCCATCATCTAACCATCATCCAACCATCATCCAACCATCCATCCATCCATCATCTTACATCATCCATCCATCATCCAACCATCCATCCATCCATCCATCCATCCATCATCTAACCATCATCCATCCATCATCCATCATTCAACCATCCATCCATCATCCAACCATAATCATCATTCAACCATCATCCAACCATCCATCATCCATCTTTCAACTATCATCCATCCATCATCTACTGTATCCATCCACCAACCATCATCCAACCATCATCCATCATCCGTCTATCATTCATCTAGCCATCATCCATCCATCATCCAACAATCATCCAACCATCCATCCATCATCTAACCATCATCCATCCATCCATCCATCATCATCCAACCATCATCCAACATTCAACCATCATCCAACCATCCATCCATCATTCAACCATCATCTATCCACCAACCATCATCCAACCATCTATCCAACACCCAACCATCATCCATCATCCATCAATCATTCAACCATCTGTCCATCCATCATCCAACCATCCATACATAATCCAACCATCATCCAACCATCTATCATCTATCCAACCATCCATCCATCAATCATCCAACCATCATCCATCCATCATCCATGCATCATCCAAGCATCTATCCATCATCCAACTATCATCCATCCATCATACAACCATCATCCAACCATCCAACCATCATCTAACATCATCCATCCATCATCCAATGATCATCCAACCAGCCTTCCATCCATCATCCATCATCATCTAACCATCATCCATCCATCATCCAAACATCATCCATCATTCAACCATTCATCCATCATCCAACCATCATCCATCATTCAACCATCCATCCATCATCCAACATTCAACCATCATTCAACCATCCAGCCATCATCCAACCATCATCCATCCACCAACAATCATCCACCATCTATCAGCCATCCATCCATCATCCAACCATCCATCCATCATCCAACCATCATCCATCAGTCATTCAGCCATCTGTCCATCCATCATCCAACCATCCATCCATCATCCAAGCATCTATCCAACCATCCATCCATCTATCCAACCATCCATCCATCATCCAACCATCATTCAACCATTCATCCATCATCCAACCATCATCCATCATTCAAGCATCCATCCATCATCCAACATTCAACCATCATCCAACCATCCATCCATCATTCAACCATCATCCATCCACCAACCATCATCCAACCAACTATCCAACCATCCATCCATCATCCAACCATCCATCCATCATCCAATCATCATCCATCAATCATTCAACCATCTGTCCATCCATCATCCAACCATCCATACATCATCCAACCATCATCCAACCATCCATCCATCTATCCAACCATCCATCCATCATCCAACCATCATTCATCCATCATCCATCCATCATCCAAGCATCTATCTATCATCCAACCATCATCCATCCATTATCCATCCATGATCCATCCATCCATCAATCATCCATCCATTATCCATCCATCCATCCATCCATCCATCCATCCATCCATCCATCATCCAACCATGAAATCAAGGTTCAACAATTTGTTGGAGCATTCCTTGTTTTTGAGCCAGAATTCTCCTGAAGCTGACAGTTATTCCAGTCTTAATCCTGGTCTAGTTTGTGACCCAGATTAGTCGTACCTTCCCTGGTCCATCATAAACGCAGTGTGCAGACTTAGGGGAACAACCTCCGTTTTGGGTTTGACACGGATCAACTGCCATGCAGACCCTCCCGTCCCCGCTGTAGCCCTCTCTGCAGGTGCACACATGCTGATTTGGACCAGTGTGGATACAGGAAGCATGGACATGGCACACGGACTGAAGACATGGGTTTATGGCTGTGAAGGACAGAAACTACACAGTTTTGTTGGAGCTCAGCCTTTAATTGTTTCAGATTCAGACTGGATCTCAGTAAACTCACACAGACACTGATCTCCTGATCTCTGGTAGCCAGGTTTACATCGACACACCAGCTTTCCTGTCAGAGCTTCTTCCACACAGCTAGAGTTTAGGGGACAGTTCAGAGCTGCACATTCAGGTAACTCTGCAAGACAAGCAAGGACCAGCTCAGGTAACAGGTGACACAAGACAGATGCTGTGGAATAGAACCAGAACTGGGAAAATATGACAACAGAAACTGTAAACAGGTGTGGGACATGGTGATGTGGGTGGGTTCAAAGTAACAGGTTAGAACTTACCTTGGTCACAGTTTGGTCCTTTGTATCCAGAGAAGCAAGTGCATCGACCGTCCCCCTTCAGTCCAGAATCACAGAGACCATAAACACACGTGCACTCTGAGATCAAAGACACCGGGACAGAGATAAGATCAAAGACACCAGGACAGAGATGAGATCAAAGACACCAGGACAGAGATGAGATCAAAGACACCAGGACAGAGATGAGATCAAAGACACCAGGACAGAGATGAGATCAAAGACACCAGGACAGAGATAACATCAAAGACACCAGGACAGAGATAACATCAAAGACACCAGGACAGAGATGAGATCAAAGACACCAGGACAGAGATGAGATCAAAGACACCAGGACAGAGATAACATCAAAGACACCAGGACAGAGATAACATCAAAGACACCAGGACAGAGATGAGATCAAAGACACCAGGACAGAGATGAGATCAAAGACACCAGGATAGAGATGAGATCAAAGACACCAGGACAGAGATGAGATCAAAGACACCAGGACAGAGATGAGATCAAAGACCCAGGACAGAGATGAGATCAAAGACACCA